TATTTATTTTAATTAATTATTCTATTACAAAAATTTTATTTTATCTTTTAACTTTTTCCTAAGTATAATATGAATAAATATATAAATAGTCTCTTAATCCTTATTTTAATTTTTTTTAAAATAATTATTAGGAGATAAAAGAACTAATGAAAATAATATATTTATAATTTTATATAATTTTATAAATATATAATATGATATATTATTATATAATTAATTTTTTATTTATAATAATATTTATTTATTTATTTAATAAAACATTATAATTATAAAATTATAATCTTACATTACATTATAATTATAACATTATTATGCTATATTAGGGCGAGAATAAAGTGATAGGACAAGCGTACGTAATCCTAGTAAGGTGTTTGTGTTTTTGGGCGCTGGCGATGGTTATAGGTGTTGCATCGAGTATGGTCTGTTGTGGCTCCCCCACACCCAGCGACGATGATGATGATGAAAGGCCAAACCAAAGCACACTAATCATTTCGACCAAGAAAAAATCACGCTAATCATTCATTAAGTGACTGTTTCCCCTAATGGGATTCCTTGTCAGCAAGCATGTCATGGGTCTCGTCCATGCCTGGAGTGTGTACTTCATCAGCTTCGGTACGAACAGAGAGGAAATTAAAGAAATGTACGCACGTAGCCAAAATACACCGAACAAATCCTCTTAAAATCGTCCACTGATCTTATAATCATTTTCGACCACGAAAAAATCACGCTAATCATTCATTAAGTGACTGTTTCCCCTAATGGGATTCCTTGTCAGCAAGCATGTCATGGGTCTCGTCCATGCCTGGAGTGCGTACTTCATCAGCTTCGGTACGAACAGGGAGGAAATTAAAGAAATGTACGCACGTAGCCAAAATACACCTAACAAATCCTCTTAAAATCGTCCACTGATCTTATAATTTGGCCTCGTGAGTGCTTATATTGAGTGAAACGGAGTCAAAAAAAGGAGAAATGATTTTTTTAAATATAAAATTACAATATTT